TTTATTTATTATTTCTAAAACTCCCCAACATGATTGTGATTCGTATAAATTTTAACTTGATTGGATATATAGTAAAATTTTCATTGATGAATGATGATATATGGTTAACTACACAAGATATCTATAATTTTTCTATGGAGAATTTGTGGTGCACATGGTTCTTGGCACCAAGAGCAATTTTGGGGCACACGAACCATTAGTCAAGGCCATCCGTTATTTGGTTCAAAGAGATTGGAGTATTAAGATCCGAGACGAATTTGGCGGCCGACTACTTGGCGAGCTTGGCGACCTTTATTCGAAGCTTGACGACCTGTTGTTCGAGTGGTATTCATTTGGTGTCTGTTCCTCCCACTACAAGAAAACACTTCAATTCCAACGAAAAATTCCAACGGCAAAAATTTCCATTAGAAATTTCAATAAATATTCCAACAATCTTAATTTTATGTTGGAATAAGTGTTGGATGGTTGAGGAATTCCAACTCTTTTTTCCGTTGGACTAGTTGTAGGAATTTATTTCCATAGGATTTTCCGTTGGATTTTAGCTATTCCAACGACCGTTTTTCCCACGAACTTTTATACCTAGGAATATCCGTTGGAATAGCTATTCCAATGAAAAATATAAAGAATTCCAATAGAAAATTTCCGTTGGAATGTAAGAGCTTTTTTTGTAGTGTCCCTCCAGTTTAGGAGATTGACTCGAGCATGATGTGATCGGGACTGGTTTTCTACTCTCGTCGAGTTCTAGTTTAGCTTTTAGGCCTTTGACCTCTTTCATTGTAAAAAAAAAAGTAATTAAAAATATGTCATTTCGCATATCTATATTTGAATTCAGAATAAAATAAGTGCGAAATAGTGCCTACTTCGACGGTAGACATGGCCACCGGACCAAATCAGCTCGGGGACTGGCTGGTCAGAACAATTGACCAGCCATCCCGGGCCAAAACTAGATTTGTGCCCGTGGATTCCACTGGGGTAGTTTCGGTTCGAGCATAAAATCGTTCGCGCAGCCCAATACCGGTCAGACGCCCATTGAATTTGACGCTAGAAATCTTAAAAATCAAAATTAAGATATTGAAACTTTTCTAATTAATTTGACCATATTCTAATCATTTGTCATTTGAATTGCTGCTACAATGCAATGAAAATATGAAACATCATAACACAAATAATAACAATTTATTGGCACAATTTGTAGAAAAATTAATGGTGCTCCCAAATATTGTACCACAACTTCATACACAAAAACAAAATGCTTTACTAAATGACTTCAAAAAAAAAAAAAAAAAAA